ACACATTAGGCTCTAAGAAAGAAAGAAAGAACTAATCATTCTTCTCCTTCAAAACAATAAGAAACGCTCGTTGTTCAAGAAAAACCACAAAGGGCTCAAAACTCATAGTTTCGAATTTATTTCATAACTCGACTCGATATATATTTTTGAGAGAATTCGACCTCCTATTTATAGGCAAGCTTTCCTTGCTCTCCAAGACAAAAACCCTAGAATTTAGGCTTTACTTTAGGCTAAAGAAACTCTACTTTCCTTGTACTACTTGATCCAATTCACAGAAAGGAAAGATGTAGTCAATTTTGACTCAAACTCTAACTAAACTTAACCACCAAGCAAAGTAATTACCTTTACTTCTTTTAATGGTAAAAGACTCAAATACCCTTAATGAAATAAGGACCTAGGGCCGGCCATACATAGCTCTCAAAATCCTAATTTATTTAATTTAAGTAAATAGACTTTTTATTTTTTTACGGACTCAATAAAATAGTAAATATTTAAATAAATATTCTCGCGTGTTTCACTCTCTTTGGTTGGTGCTCCTGGCTCCAATTCAAAGCTCCAAGCTCCAATTAATGTCCTCTACACACTTGAATGTGCTTCTTCAATCTCTTCAAGACGCTAGCTATTTAGAACAAACTCACTTGCATCAATCTCTTGGACATCACTTGAATCTCCATCATTTGAATCACTCCAATTGCTAGGAAAATCATCACTAAACTCCTCTGACACTTGTTGTTCATTAAGCGATTCTTTTTCAACCTCATTGTTCCCACTAGAAGGTGTTGGTGAATACTCGTTCAAAGAAGGCCAAGTTCTCACAGCAAACTTTCTTCTATTCTTAAACAGAAACAATCTCGTACTACCAACTGATAAGAACACCTTTTGCTCTTTCATTTGATGTTGACTTTGATGTGAAGTCATATGATTCTCATCAGTTAGTTAGTTAGGTTTTAGGTAGTTTCTTCAAAATAATAATAATAATAATAATAATAATAATTCCTTTCAGATAATACTAGGTGGCTGAATTTCTGAATCCTTAGTTGTCTCCTTTTCGTGTAAGAATTGTAGTTTATCAAAGTTTAGGAAATTTGTACCATTTCAGACTATGTGTAATTCTTTTAACATTTTACACAGAGAAACACCATTTTTGTTTAAAAGGTTCACTAAGTAGCAGCTGTGCAATAAAAATGGAACTTTGGAGAGTGAAGATTGGTTAAGAAACTTTTCATCTTTCTGTTTCTCCATTTTGTTTGAATGATTGAAAGTTTGAAACACTAAAATCTTCTTCGTCTTTATATGCGGGAGCCTTAACTCGCTAGAAACAAGGTGCAAAGTCCCCAAGACTGGATAACCTAAACAAGAGATAGGATGTTCTTGAGCTAATAATAGTTGTTCATATGACGGATGAATTGCAATCTCAGCCTTAAGATGTTGTTTTATTCACTAGGGATTACCACTTAAACATCTCAAACTCCAATCTTCAATTTCACCCCTCATTCCTAAACCACGTGAACTAGCTTGTATGGCAGAGTTTTTTCAATGTTGTTTAACCAAATTTCCCCTTCAAACTCCATGCAAATATTTTTTACTACAAAACATAACCCAATTTATTACTCTCTCTTTCCCAAAATCACCGTCCAGTTTGGATTTTCACTTTTAACTCAATTGTACTAAAACTAAGAATATCAACTGAACAATAATTATAGGACAGAGAAATACTTCCTTTGTTCCAAAATGATTTGTTCGGTTCCGATTTTTCACTTTTAGACTTTTAGTATTAATTTGGACTAAAAATGAATATTCGACAATCATTTTTAGAAATAATACATATAAATATTCGATTTTTACAAATCTTTGTATGTTTTCATAAAAATCACAACGGTCCATCAACATTTGTACATACTAAAACTACATGATCAACATTATTGTACTATATTTTGGGCATTGCTATTTGCAGTTATAAGAATTACTCATTTACAGTCGTTTGGACATTTTTGCCCCTGAGTACTACAAAGAGTACTAAAACACATAGTTTCAAATCATTTCTTTCTCTTCTTCTTCTTCAACTCTCAAAGAAAAAAAATCCAAAAATCATAATGTCAAACTCAGATCTACAATAATTTAGAGGTTAAAAAAATGGCAGAAAAGGAGAATCAAGCACCAGAAGGCTCAGTCTCAAATTTGGTATGCTTTCTTTGTCAAAATTCATTGAATATTATGAAAAAAAAAACCGTTCTGGACAAGGGTAGCCGGCAGCAAACCGGCGACAAACCGGCTACCCCTAGAGAGCTAGCCAAGTCAGGGATCAGCTAGCTTAGCCCAAGGAGCCGATCAGGGATCGGCTCCTTCTTAAAGGTAACCAACTACCCCTTGAGAGCTGGCCGGTCCCGGCCAGCTCTCAAGGGGTAGCCGGTTTGCCGCCGGCTACCCCTGAGCAATTTTTTTTTCTTTATTTTTTTCAATTTTTTATGTTATATTCATTTTAGTTATTATTAATTTTTTTTTAATAATTAGTTTGTTTGAATGAATAGTATCAATCTTTATTGTTTAGATTTTTAATTTAATTAAAAAAATAAATTTTATTAATAATGATTGTTTATGTAAATTAAATTTTTTGTAGTGGTAATTACATCTTTGTATTGTATTTATTAACAATAATTGATAGAGTGTAATAAATGTAATTTAATTTAAATTATATTTTCTATGTAAATAAAATTTAATATAGTTTTAATTGACTATCATGTAATGTAATTAAATTTAAATTAAAAATTGTTCACTAGATGTGTTTTACATAAATTAATATACTTAATTATGTAGTTAATTTTTTATGTATATATTTAAGTTTGTTAAATTTGATTATGTTTCATTACAGGATTATGGTGGTAATGGTATTAACTATAGTTCTTATTTCAAGACTCACATTAGATTCGATACTCTTGATGATGCTGTAGAATGGGCGATCGCCTTATCTCGAGCAGACCAACCAATACGGCAACACTGCACGACTTTCTTCCCCTGAATCTCCCCACCCTGATATGCTTTACTAGCGACTGGATCCTCAACAGGCTCTAACAACATCCTCATGGCCAAATTATGACAATCACTAACCTCAGGCTGTGCTGTAATCAAGCTACCATCAAGGGGAAGGCCCAATATCCGTCACACATCGTGCAACATGATGGTCATCTCTTCAAAAGGCATGTGGAACATGTTGGTGTCCGGCTGCCATCTCTCCACAAATGCTGTAATGAGTGTCTTATCAATGTTGTTGTGCATGATGCCTGCAATGTGGGACAACCCTGTATGCTCCAACAAGTTCTTACCCTCTTGCCCCATACCATCCTTCCAATCTTTCAATTTCTGAAAGTATGTGATTCTTGTATCTATTTCTAAGGAGCTTTTACATGAATTTTCTGTCAAGAGATTGGCCACATGCCCAAGAAAACTGGGAATAACAGAACCGTCCTGGGGGCCACCCCTGACTGGCCTCGTCACAATCGAATTGTAGGCACTGCTCACTGAAATTATTAAAAATAAATCATACATTTTTTTCAAAAAATAATGAAAAAAATATTATAATATATTTTAAAAAATAAATATTATACCTGATGATGATGATGCAGCCGCAGACGCACTGCCGCCATGACGAACAATAAGGCGTGGTCTAACTTCAGGGGGAGGTCTAACTGGGTGGAGATGGAGGTGTGTCATCTTCAAAATGATCATACCCATCCGAGTCGAAATTCTCGAATGGAATATTTTCTTCGTCAATGATATTCTTCTAGTCTAGACTAGCCTGATCAAATACCTCGTCAAGTCTCCGTGGACCAGACCCAACCATCAATGTAGAATCAGGTACAACTGGTCTTTTCAGTCTTTTTTCTTTAACCTACATTGATTAATATATAACTACACTATTACTATAATTTATATAAAAATTAATATAACACATAAATTAAACATATGATCAAATAATCAAATAATAATAACATCTTTAAATTATAACCAATTTAAAATATTATTAAAATAATTATAACACATAAATTAAAACATACTCTAATGTTTTAAAATATAATAACTACTTATTTAAAACTACAGTAAAAAATTCAAATAATTATAATATCTTTAAATTATAACCTATTTAAATTATTACTACAATAACTATAATACATAAATTAAAAGATGCCATAATTATTTAAAATATAACAACTAATCTAATTAAAACTATATTATTTTTAAAATTCTTATTTATACTTCTTATTCAAATTTATTTAATTATAATAACATGAACACCAATAAATAAAATATAATCAATAATATATAACAAAATTTAATTAAAACTAATTATTAAAAAATAAATTCAATAAATGAATTAAATATAACAAAAATAATAACAAACACAATAAATATAAAAAAAATTAAAAAAATAATTATTCAGGGATAGACGGCGTCGGACCGGCTACCCCTGTTTGGGTAACCCCCGCCAGATCGGCTACCCGAAGAGATCGGCTACCTTCCCCTAGGTAGCCAATCCCGCGAGGGTTATCCAAACAGCGGTAGCCGGTCTGACGCCGATTTTAATTTTTTTTGAATTTTTTGATAACAAATTTGATTAAAAAAAAAATTACCGTTGCACAGAGCGAGCTTCCCCAACGTTGTTTGCCTTGATCCGCCATTTTTTTAGCTCTCGAATCTTTATAAATCTAAGTTTAGAGATTGAGTTTTTAAGTTTGAATGTGAACAAGAAAAAGAGGAGGAGGAAGGAGGAAAAAAAGGAAGGAAAAAGAAGAAAATGAAGGAAAAGAACAAAAATATCAATCGATTGTAATGAATAATTTTTTCCGACTGGAAAAAGCAATTCAATATATTTTTTAGATACTCGCTTATATCATGTAGTTTTCCAAGTTACAATTGGTAGTACGATCCGACATGTCGAGAAAATCATAAAACAAGGTTTTTGGCGGTAGTTGTATTTATTTACTCCCTCCGTCTCATAATTATTGTCCAGTTTAGATTTTCATTTCTAGTTCAAATTGTACTAAAAGTAAAATTTTAAACTAGACAATAATTTTGGGAGAGAGGGTGTATTTGTTTTTGGAGTGGCTAGCTGCCGGGCTGGCTTGTTTGTTTTTCCGAGATGATTCGAGATGTCCGCATGCAGAAACGATAAAATAACCAGATGACAAAACATGTGATTTCATTTCAGGCTTTGTTGACCAATTCCAAGGAAAGTGATGGGCAGAGGAGAGACCCCCCCCAAAAAAAATGCTTCGAGTACAGTGTGCAATGCAATGGCGATGTTGATATGGGAGAGTTGACTTACCTGTTCCTCTTAGATAATTGATCCTTCTCTTCCATCTTTATTTCTTTGTTTCTTTTCTTTTTCTTTGTTTGCTCGTTTTTGCATTCGTGTTTCCACCATTGGTTTCTCTGTGAAGAAATAAAGTAAGGGAAAAAAAAATGGCGGATTACTTACCAGATTTTGCTCGAGATCTAAAGGAACTTAGATGGAGGAAGCCCTTTGGTGGAATCCCCTGGGATGGTACGGTCATCAAATTTGAGCTTTGGATGGAGCTGGGATTACTGTATGTTTTCGCCGGTTACGCTCAGAGGCGGCGGCGGCATAATGCTGCAGTGGCGGCGGACGACGACGTTTCAATGGAGGCCCTGTTCCTCCAAATCGAGCAAGTTTACAAGAGTCACATCTCCGTTGCTGCTAAGGCACTTGGTACGGAATCATACCCTGCGGCTCTCGCTTCTTTGGAAGCAGAAATTGGGCGTCTCAAGGCACAGATCATGGAAGCTTACCAAAAGAGATCATCCCCTTTCACATCCAGCCAATCAATGTCCTCTTATTCAGAGCAGGGTACTGATTCCTTCGATTGGGAATTCTTTGCTGACATCCTAATTTGGAGAATACGCTCACTTCCCGATTGCAGTGGTTATGGTTCCATTCGTATTCTGGCATCCTTTTACAGGCCCATAGATAAGCTTGTTGCGGCTTCTTTTAAATCCGGCGGCGGCGGCGAAGGGTCGACGGTTTGGGGAAGGGAAATGATTGTGTACATTGAAGAAATATTGGTCCACATTGCTCATTTCTTTTGCTGGCGTTGGTATACTAATACTCTGTTTCCACCGGAATCCATGGCCGATGATGGCCAACAGGCTCTGGAGGATGAGGCTGTTAGCCTCCTGTCAAATCTCCGCCGCAAATTGGATCCTGCTTCTCCCGAGTTCCTAGACGCCGCTCTGGGATTCCTCCCCACCGGTGGCTCTTGTGGTGGTGATGATGATGATGCTGCTGATGATGACGATGGTGGATTAAAACAATGTGTCCGTTTTCTTTACCTTAACCTCAATTTTGAAAGCGAATCTTTTTACACAGACATGGAGTTTCTGTTTTCCTTTCTCTTGAAATTTCCTGTGATGCAAGAGTACCTAAAGATGGATGAGAAAATGGGTGATGTTGGTTTAGTTGGACGCATTAAAGGTATATATATGGAGGCTGCATCAGCCCCAGAAAATGCCCAGGAAATTGTGTTTGGTATCTTAATTCCAAAGATGTGGTATCTTAAAGCTGAGATTTTCGTCAAAATCACTGCCACCCTCCGGCAACATTTCCAGCAAGTGGACCTGACCTCTTCTTGCAGGACAGATTCTATGGATGACCTAAACAATGCCCTTCTTCAAAGGTCCAAATTTCTGCAAGACAATTCTCATGTGGACGGAACCAGAAACAGAACCCTATGTTGCATCTATCAATATCTGCAACAAGTGTTCTCCTTGGATGACCATCTGGGAGCCGTGCAGCAGATCTGTGAAACACACCTAGTTAAAGATGAAGAAAGTTCGTTGGAGTTCATTGAAAGATTTCCTAAGCAGCTCCAATCAATCATTCGGTCTTCTCATGATGAGGATGCCTACTTGCTGGCCACCAAGGTCTGCGATTTACACTTCCAGTTTTATGTACAGATGATGCTCGATTTGGCCAAAGCCTTGTTTGGATATTGGATCCTGAATGACGATATTCCAATGCTCCTGAAGCCAAAAGTTGAATCTATTGCAGATGAACTGGATTTCTTGGTGAAAGTAGCGACTATTGCAACTGCAAACATGATCACAGAAGACGAGAAGCAATTGTTCACAGGTATGGAAGTAGTGGCTTCCAAGATAGTATCTTATTTAATCACAAAATTTGATAAGAAAGAAGATGCAAACGAGCAGATAGATGTAGTTCTTCATAACTTACTGCAAAAAGTTGACCATTTGATCCTAATGCTCAAAGGGATGTATCTTCAAAATGGAAGGTTTATCCCAAAGACTCCTAGCCCTGGTCTATTCCAATGTCTCCTACAGAAGTTAAGAGGGATCCTTAACAGAAAGGGCGATTTCACAGCATCTGATGTACGTCCATTTGAAACCATCCACGATGATTTGGAGTTCATAATGTCTACTTTTGGAGACCATTTTGATCCGGTATCTGAGAAATCGGGATTCAAAGATCTTCTTGCACAGCTCACTCACGCGGCATATCAAGTAGAATGCATGGCTGACTTCCTGGTGCTTAAAGATGATGCCACGAGGCAACAATTATTATGGTGCCGGTATTTGCCTGAAGAGATTAAACGCATTAAGTTGTTGTTTAATGATATCAACAAGGGCACCACTTTTGATCATGATGACCAAGCCGCTCCCCCAAGTTTGGTACCTGTCGCGTCACAGTCCATGACCGCGACAATTGGGGAAGGTATGGTTGGCCTCCATGATAAAGAAAAGAAGAAGATTCTTAATCAACTCATTAGAGGTACTTCTGAAATGCGAGATATTGTCACCATTGTGGGAATGCCAGGAATCGGTAAAACCACTTTGGCGCTTAATGTGTTTCGCAGTCCTGCTGTTATGCATCACTTCTCTATTCGCGCGTGGTGTGTTGTTTCACAAACATATAACAAAAGGGGGTTGTTGCTTAGTATCTTAAGCCAAATTTTATCTGTCATGGAAGGTATCCATTCCATTCCTGATATCGATTTACAGGAAATGTTGTGTAGAAAATTGAAGACGGGAAAGTACTTAATTGTACTGGACGATATGTGGAGCACTAAGCCATGGGAAGATTTGGAGATTTCATTTCCGCGGGACTCAAAAGGTAGCAGAATCCTGATAACTAGTCGTCTTCAGGACGTGGTTTCAAATTTTAATGTTCCCCACTCTCTAGGATTACTCACTGATGAGGAAAGTTGGAAATTATTAAAGTCAAAGATATTCTCAAATGAAGAGTGTCCGAAAGAACTGTTAGATATTGGAGTGGAAATTGCCAAAAATTGCAAAGGACTCCCACTATCTATTGCTGCAATAGCTGGTCTTCTTCGTGCAAGTGTGAATCAGGCCTCGTGGAAACAAGTTGCCCGAAGTGTAAGCTCAATTGTAGTTAATGATCCAGAAACAAGATGCAAGGAGCTCCTAGAAGTCAGCTACAACCATTTACCTGGTCACCTCAAAGCTTGCTTACTTTATGTTGGAGCATTTCCGGAAGATTCTGAGATTGCAGTCAGAAAGTTACAGTGGTTATGGATGGCCGAGGGTTTTGTGCAGAAATTGGAGTCTAAAAGTGAGGAGGATCTTGCAGAGGATTATTTCAGAGATCTCATTGGTAGGAACCTGATAATGGTATCCAAAAAAAGATCAAATGGTAAGGTGAAAACATGCCGAGTTCATGATGTGGTACGTGATTTGTGCATTTTGAAAGCTAAAGAAGAAATTTTTTGGCAACTGATATCTGCTAATGATGAACCTTACTCTTCTTTTGATGATTTTGATTCTGATATTTATGATGAGCTTTTCAGACCTTCAAACTCCAGAGTTTATGATTCACTTCGAATGTGCTTTTATGTGAACCGAGAACACTTTGTTGTGTCGAAGCCTTCAAATCGGGTTGCTCAATCTCTGCTTTACATTGCTACCAGTGATTCGTATCCGAGATGCCCTTATGATTTATCTTTCATCTCTAACAACTTCAAAAGAGTTGCAGTGTTGGATTTGGAATCAATCAATATGGGGAGCACCTTTAGAAATGAAATTGAATCTCTTGTTCTTTTGAGATTCTTAGCAGTTTCTGGTGACATGGAGTCTATCCCACCATCTTTCTCCAAACTACAGAACCTGGAAACTTTGGTTGTGAAGGGATTCAAGAAAAAGATAGTGCTTCCAGATACCATTTGGAGAATGAGAAAGTTGAGGCATGTCCACATGACTAATCGCCTGATCTTCACTTTGGAACATGTTGAAGATGGAACCTCCTCTCAGTTAGGTGATTTGGTGATACTTTCTGTTTTGTTCCTTAAGTATGGGGAGGCAAGTAATGACTTGATATTAAGATTCCCCAACCTTCAAAATTTGAGCTGCATAATCTTGGGACCAAGATATGTGTCCACAAATTTCTCTCAGTTTCATGAATTGGAATCGCTTCACAAGTTGGAGTCCCTCAAAGTAACTTACTATGGCAGGGTTCTCAATGCCGGTGAACTGTACTTTCCCTCCAGTGTCAGGGAGTTGACTCTATCAAAATTCCGTCTACCCTGGAGTTATATCTCAGTGATTGCGAGATTAGGTAACCTTGAGGTCCTCAAGTTGATTTCGAGAGCATTTGAAGGTTCAAGTTGGGACATGACAGAAGAAGAGGTGTTTGTCAAGCTTAAGTTCTTGAAATTAGACACACTAGACATTGTCCATTGGAATCCCTTCTCCAGTGATAACTTTCCTGAGCTTCAGCACCTTGTTGTGCGAAATTGCAGGGAGCTTCAGGAGATTCCCTCTGATATTGCTTATCTCCCGACATTGGAGGAGATTGAGATTCAACAATGTGGAACTTCTCTCGAAGAGTCCGCCAGAAACATTGAGGAAGAAATGGAGTGGCTCAAGATTGTTGTCAACAAGTCACTTTCAGATTAAAGATTTTCACATGGATTGTGGATTTACTTCTCTTAACAAGTAAGTGATTGTATTCATAGTATGTAATATTCATTGTTCCTTTTGTCCATACCGAATTGTGATAACCATCTATTCCTTTAATTTGTTGCTTCGACATAGAGAGAGGAACATTTTGTTCTTTGGAAGAAACTATATGTAGACGACGTAGTTTAGTTAGTTGCGAAACAATTTAGCCTCTGACGTCTGATGATTACTATCTTTCGCTACTTTTTCAAGAAATGCATCCCAATCTGGCTTTTCTTTGATGAAACATAAACTTATATCTGCTTTTAACACTTCACACACTGAAACACCATCTTCTTTGAAAAGATTTACTAAACTGTTGTCAAAGAAACTGGAGAGAAGCTTTACCTTCTTCTTTATTTTTTGTTTTCTCTTTCGGTAGGCAGGAGCTTTGTAGAAGAAGTTCAGTCACTCTCAGTTCAAGAGGCTCCCTTCCCTTTGCTTGCTAGAAATACGCAGCGCCGAGGCTGCTGCATTACCAGTCCAATGCCTCTGAGTGGCATTAAGTTCTTAGCTGTGAAATGGAACTAATGGAACTTTTGTTCTTCTGTGAGGTTGACGAAATATTTGCTGTAATCAATTGAATGTTGGACCGCCAAAACTTGAATCTGATGCTGCATCGCTTTTGGTTTTGCTGCTGTTTTTCGTTTCTTGCTGCTATGTGTTTGATTTCAGTTGAATGATGTATACAGAAATCTTTGGTTCGTTTTTTTAGTGTGTGTTTTTAGGTGTTTTTTGTATTGGGAATGTAAAAAGGTGTGTTGGAAATGTAAAAAAGTGTGCGGAGATGAGACAGTTATTAATAAAATATACTGAAAAAACCATAAAAAAAGCAAACAAACAGAGCCTAAATATGTGTTTCATTTTTTCTTGTGAGTTGTGATTGTTGGTTTGTTTGGTTTGTTCACTGTAGACTATTTAAAACTCAGCGCACGCGGTATCCAAACTGCAGCTTAGATTTGTCAATGATATTCATCCTATTTTGAGCCAAGTGTGTACTGCATTTGACATGTACTCTAGTTATTTCTAATGGTACACTCTAGTTATTTCTAATGGTACACTTGTATGTATTATTAGTACAACAAATGCCAGCATTAGTTTCAAGTGCATGAATTATTTATCAAAAAGTCTCGTAGTATATCTGGAGTCTACTTATTTTTTTCCTAGTAATCTTCAACGTAAGGCCAAGTATTCTTGGATCACAGTTGGATGTATGTTGATGTTATTTCACAGTTGGATGTAATTTCTTTTTTTTGGGGGTGGGAAGGGGCGGAGAATACGACCTCAAAACACACCACATTCATTTCTATTCACAACTTCACAAAGAGAGAGCAATTTAACAAACAAAAATACTGAACTAGCAGAATACTGTAAATCTTCTTATGAAGGTTTACAAATCAATTTATGAAGATGAAATGTGAGCAAGTTATCTAGCTAATCTAAAGATAACTGGACAGTGAACAATATTTAGATGGCATGCATTCGGGTTTGGGCCTTACATAGGATGCAGCTCTTCAGTAGCCTGCAATGGAATTTGGAGACCCTCGACTAACATACAACAAAATCCTTAATTTTAAGAGCAAACCTTTTTGCAAGGAAGGTAATGAGATGGTAAAACAACCTATTTATTGTCACCAAATTCAACTCATTCATAAAATATGCTCCCTCTCTCCCATAAAAATCCACATTGTATTTTGTGCTTGTCACAAAATAAAATATAGACTATTTCTTTTTTGGAGAGGAGAATAATTATTTAACAGAAAACAGGATAAAAAGGTTTACAAAAAAAATTAGAAAAAAAAAATAATCCACACTGTCCGAAATTTACATGTCAATGTCGGTCAGCTGCGGACCAGGTTTCCCTTCGAAAAATGTAATCTCGTAATTAAAAGTTTATTTTCTAAAATTAAAATTTAGTTTTATGAAATTTGTATAATCTAATAATGATTTTGAATTTAATAAATGCATACTCCATCCTTTTCATAATAAAAAATATAGGGATTGAATTGTAGGTGAATAATATTTTTTTTTATTATTTTTGAACAAGTACAATGAATATCTAACTTGCAAATGTTCAAGTCACGTTTACTCTGGTTAATTGATTGTTTGCAAATAATATTGCAGTTCATGTCACCTTGGACTTTTTCCTTCAACATAAAGTTGTTTGTTTGTTCTGTAATTTTTTTTTTTTTTTTTTAATTTGAACAAAGAAGTAAGCATAGCCTAACACACATAGATATTGACACACACACACATACACATCAAACGGGTGTGTTACTCTCCACGGTTGATATTGGATTCCTCAATGAGCAGTGAAAAGTGACCTTCTGTTCTTATTATAAGACATTTTGATTTGTTATAAATCTTATCTAGTATATACTTCTAATTGAAAATAAAATTTTAAAAATTTTGTTATCCCAATTATTATAAAATACTTTTAAGATTTATTTTCAATTAGAAGAACATACTGAATGAAAATTAGAACAAATCAAAATAGGAATAAGGGAGTATTTACTATATACTTCCTTTTGTGCACGGAAATAACTATACTCTATTGAAATGGCTATAGCCTACATGTATCAAAACCCATAATAGTATTAGCGTCACATAAATAAGGCTTCAAGTAATATGGTGGTTTATTATCTCTGTTATTACACTTTGTTTTGACAATTTTTTTATTGTTAGTGTTAGAAATATTTTAGCATTATGATTAATTAATAATTAATCACTTACACTCGAAACTCTAACTCTAAAATAAAAATTAGGTAAAAAAGATGGCCTAATTGCAATCTTTACGGAGATTTTTTTTTTTTTAAAAAAAAACATAAGCTGTCTTCATGAATAGCAACACACATGACACATACATCCAAAAAGCTGTTTTTCTTATAGCAATAACAAACTCTAAAGTGAAGCAACAAAAAAGAGCCAAAGATTTTCAAACAAAAAACATACATAAAGAAAGACCCTTTTGAGCAATAAACATATTTACTTTTTCCAAAAAACAGTCCCATCTTTAGGGCACCAACCAAGAAAAAGGAGGCCCTTTTTTCATCCCAACAAACGTTATATATTTATAACCAGTCCCTTGTGTAAAAAGTAAGCAACCATTGTCCACACTGAAACCTTAAAGGTGCTGTCCAATCCCTGCATGCGGGAATATTATAGTATCAAACAGTATGCGTGCTTTGCAATGTTTACTACCTTTTTCTCTTGTGTATTTTATATAAATAGGGATAAAGAGAGCTTCCCAATTATTAGAAACTTTGAGATGGGCATTCATCATTTCATAGGATTCATCAAAATGGCAGTATTTAGTACCATCATAATAACTAGCAGCTTCTTCTTTGATGAAAATGAAGCATTTTCATCATCACCAGAAGAAGGGTCTGCATCAGCTGCTTGGAAAATGTGGCATATTTTGTGGCCTTCTTTTGAGGGATCATCAAACTTAAGAAGATGCTTAGAATACGAAGCATGAAAAGCTGATGGTTTCATGGCTATTTTGGATGGGGAATTAAGCTCGTCTGGTCCGAATATATATCACAACTATATATGGCAGTTTAATTAATTACAGTTTGTTTTTTTTATTTGTGTTGTCCAGTTTGCTTTTCTTCTTTTCAATTTTAGAACTCATATGAAGTAGTATTAATCTTTTGTTTAGGGTTTGTAATTCCGTGAGATTTGCAACTTCAACAAGGTCTAGTTGTTTGTTTAGTAAAGAGATTATGCGTGAGATCAATAAATTTGTAATGTAGTTTAATTGATTATATTAATGATGCTTAATGAGTAATGATATTCGTCTTCTCTAATCTTCCTCTAATTAATCATGCGGTCTTTATTTATTGACCGTTTGTTATAGAGGTGATGATGGTAAAGTGTATCCAAAATCAATAATTACTCGATTTTTAGTGCCTTTGCTAGCTTGCTTATTAGAAGTAATTAGAACGCACATCATTCAGGACTTTTAATTACCGAGACTTATGCAGGAACCTTGGCGTTCATGGTTTCAAGTTAAGGTGGGGTCAAGATTCATCATATTATGTTGAAAACATTTATACTATGCTTATGAATTAATTCGTTCGTTTAAACTAATTGCGTGATCATTCAATCAATGAAGTCATGGCGTGATCCTTGTATCTTGAATGTGTATTACATGTAACTATATGATAATTTCAAAGATGTTGAAGGTTTTTTTTTTTAAAAAAAAAAAACAAAAGTAGATTCAAAACCCAAAAACACAAATTTTCTTTTTATTAGTATTATTCAAAACCCAAAAACACCAAATTTTATAGTTATTTGGTTTGGCTAATGATATTGCGAGAGTAAATAGGATCCAGAACAAAGTCTTAATATCTTTCCAATCTTACTCTTAATTAACCAAAACTCCACGTGTTCTCTTCCGCCATGACTTCAACAAAGCCCGCTTTCGTGTTTTTTTTTTTTTTTCAGGTTTCTATTTCTCTCATTAATACTTCTAAAATTAATCCAATCAATTAATATCCATTGAGCCAATAACCCCCGGAATTATATTCTACTCATTTGGATTATCGACTGAGTATTGCTTCAAAAGAGGTATTTCTTGAACCATTAGTTAGAATGATCAAGATTGACCTTTCTAGCAATAATTTGGGTTATCTGCTGCTTGAAAAATCCCACAAAGCTTGAATTAAATTTTGGAAGCCTATAATATAAGTTTAGAAGCCCCCAAAGTATAGTAAGAAATCTCCAATTTCAGTTGATCAAGATAATGAAATGGTTACTCTAAATGCCTCAGGAAATTTATGCCACCGTAATAAGACAATACAAATAACGGCAACAAAGAAAATAACTGCATCTTAGAGAGAGACAAACTCACTCCTTGAAACTTCCATCAAACTCATTTTTCTACCTATTGGGATACCTATGTTGGCGTGAAGAGTTTTAAATTCATCAGAGAAAGGTCAGAGGTATATATTATATAGGAAGTGATAAATTGATTAGGTTTTGAAGATTATAAAAAGTCAATTCCCTTTCCATTCCGCAACCATTTCAACAAAGAGATTAAAGCAGTATTGTGGTTTAGGGTGTAATGGTGTACATCTATAACTACTGAAGTTCTCACTATCACGCCAAAGACACTACTAATAAAATTGAATTAACAAAAATCGGGGGAGGAGGAGGAGGAGTAGGATCGAGACAAGCAAGGGAGAGGAAAATTAACATTTGACCTATTAAGGATAATATAGGTAATATATCAATTAGTTGTTCTGGATCATAATCTGTTGTATAGAGTGTAAACAAAAGATGGCTAATGACTTCATGGTTGAGTGTACCAAGCCCTTGGTGTGTGTATGTTTATTAATAAACCTAACAACAGCACGAATTTGGTGCACACCAAATCTCCAATTTGGTGTTCTGGTGACTGCTACAGTAATTTATATATCAACCATCGACACCAGATTTCACACTAAAAAAGCAATATTCCTCATATTTTTGTTTATCTTTTTTTTGTTATTAATTTTATTAAATTACAAAAGGTAACCAATTTTTGTATTTCTAATTATTATTATTATTATTATTATTATTATTATTATTACATTTAGTTTTATGAATGTTTGTGTATTTTGTTAATTGTTTCAAACTAAAGGTGATTAGATTTTTTTTTGTTAATACCACGTGTCAACTTTTCTATTTATATTATGTAGTTTTTTGTGGTTATAAATTAAATATATATGATATCATTTGAATCGGTTGATTCGACATATGAATTTAATAACTTTATTTATATACAAAATAGTTATAAATTGTTTAATGTACGGGCTGTTTTTATAAAATATATAAACTAATTAAAAGTCTAAAATATAACTAAAAAATCCAGGCATAGCAAATACCCAAATCTGGATACTTACTGTTCATGAACCACAGTGCTCGAACAATGCACGGATGGGGTTGCATTTTATACCCAAATCACCATGGATGGCCTAGAGCACAAAGTTGCAACAAACTAC